CTGGGGCTGGAGAGGATGGCACGCTGCGGGGCGGTGGTGTTCTGCTGTTCCCTGGCCGCCTCCTTGCCGCTGGCACTCAGCGGTTTGTGAAGAGGGGAGCGGGTAGGAGGGGGTAATCAGCAAACTGATGCAGGTCTCTGACCTTTCAGAGCAGAGACGCATTCAGGAAACAGCCATGACACTGATGAGGAGCCACTGAAGGAGTCCAGGCTGAAGGAGGCGTTCTTGTGAGTCCGCACCGCAGCCCCGTCTGGCTGTTGTTTGTTGTTTACCCCCGTCCCCGGACCCCTGCATGCAGTCGCTGGAAATACCTTGCTTCTGCTTACGCTGAAGTGAGCAGCGATGCCTGGGGCAAAACATCTGCTGATCGGATTCTTGAGGCAAACCTGGCCACCACGTCCTGGTCCTCACCTCCAGCGGGCTTTGCATGCGCTCCGTGTCTTGAGGGGATTAATACAGCGTCTGCTATGGGATCAAAGCAGGGGGGGTCCCTGCCTCTCCCATCGCCCCTTCTTCTTCATCTCCCCTTTCTCTTGCTCCCTGCAGTTGTTTAGAGTTCTTGCTGGATAATGGTGCTGACCCATCCCTCCGGGACAAGCAGGGATATACCGCTGTCCACTATGCAGCTGCGTACGGCAACAGGCAGAACCTCGAACTGGTGAGTGCGCCGGAGAAGACCCTCTGTGCTGCCAGGGGTGGGGGGAAGCCCCCCTTAAGGAGCGTGTCCACAGGCCCTGTGGTGTCCACGTGTGGCTAAAGGACTGTGTATGTTGTAGGCGCTACGGTGTCAGGGTTTGCCCAGGAGGAAGGGAGATGGGTTTGATTAAAAAGCTCCGTGGGCAGCTGTCGTGCTGGGAATGCCACGGAGGCAGGACCTGGGCCTGGGTGAGATGCCTGAGAGGAAGGAGCTTTGTTACCCAGCACAGGGGGACGTATGGATGTCTAGCTTAAACCCCTGGCAACAGAGCAAGGTTGGGCAATTTTAAAAGGAAGGCTGGAGACTTGTGCCAAGGAAGAGCGCTGGCAGTACACAAAATGCCTTGTAACTGCCTGAAATGCCTGCGTCGTTACAGGGGAGGCTTGCAGCCCTGCGGGTACAGGAAATCATGTGAGTCGTGGGGAGGCTTCTGGATAGCAGGGACTTGATGTGACTGTCTGTGCAGGGCCCAAAGCCAGGTTAAGGAAGGTCCCTTCCTGAAATTCAGATCATTCCGAAGCAGATGAGCAGGTTCCCAAGCCCTCTGCAGCCTGCTGGCGGACAGGGTGCCTGTGGAAGCCTCCGTGAGTCCAGGATCAGTTACGGTTCTGTGTTGTTGCTGTTGCAGCTCCTGGAAATGTCTTTTAACTGCCTGGAGGATGTGGAAAGCACCATTCCAGTCAGCCCTTTGCACTTAGCTGTAAGTACGGCTGGCCCAGCCCCAGGGTTGCGGAGGGCACTTGGCTCCGAGCGGGGCTCATGCTGAGTCCTGGAGAGGTGCTGGCTCCTGGGCAGCGTGGGCTGGGTCCCTGCAGCCATGGGTGCTGAGCAGAGCAAAGGAGGAAAGGCAGCTGGGGAGCAGCTTTCCCCATAGGCCATTGGTCAAAGTCCCTTTGATTTCTACGTTAAACTCCTTGCTCTCTCCAGGACCTTCTGGTTGCTGCTGTTGGGAGCCACCTCCCTTGTCTGAGTGTGGGCAGGGGTGGGCGAGGGCTTTGTGTGGGACCGGGGTGCAGATGGGAGGCAATGGCTGGGCAGGAGCTCATCTGGCCAGAGGGACCCAGGGAGTGGGAATTGTCCTGGTGGGGGGGATTTCTGGGCGCAGCCTCTTCGGGCGCCACTTCAACGTGGTCTGCTTTGTCCTCAGGCCTATAATGGTCACTGTGAAGCGCTAAAGACACTTGCCGAAACCCTCGTGAACCTCGATGTGCGGGACCACAAGGGGCGGACGGCGTTGTACCTCGCCACGGAGAGAGGCTCCACGGAGTGCGTGGAGGTGCTCACCAGCCACGGCGCGTCCGCCCTGGTGAAGGAGAGGAAGAGGAAGTGGACCCCTCTCCACGCTGCAGGTGACGGAGGGCAGACGGGGCTGGGGGTGGCGAGCCAGTATGTCCAGAGCCCTTCCAGCCACCGGTGCCACCGCTGCCAAGGATGCCCATTCACCCGGCCGGTTTCGGGAGGGGGAAGGGGCTGTGGATTAGTGTTGTGGGAACAAGTATAGGATCTGCAGGTGTGGAGACTTTGTTTTGGGACCAATGAGAAAAGGGATATAAAAGCGTTAAATAGAGTGATCCCGATGCTGCTTGTGCTTGCGTGTCTGACTTGGGGTCCCTGCTTTCATTGCCACATGCCATCACTGCCACACGCCATCATTGCCACAGATTAGGATGATGCTTAGAGGCAGGATGGGACCAGTGCAGCCTGCTGTGATGTGCCAGCAGAAGCTGAGGGTCCAAGCAGCTCAGCAGGGGGTGGGAGAGAAGACACATGCAGCTTTCTGCACACACGTGTCGTCAGCTCAGCCTGTGCACGTGCTAATCAGTCCGGTAGCCTAGCAACCACATAACGAATTTGCTCAGCCACGTGTGCCCGGCTGCTGGGCACGAGCCCCTTCCTTTGGTTTGCAGCGGTGGCTGGAAGGAGGGGACCCCTCTGTACGTGTGTGTGTGACTCCTCCTTCCTTCCCTCCCTGCGTTGTCTGCAGCTGCCAACGGGAACACCGATTCCCTGCACCTCCTGATAGACAGCGGGGAGCGGGCAGACATCACCGACGTCATGGACATCCACGGCCAGTGAGTTTGCCCGGGTGTTTCTCTTGGGATCTGTGTGGCCCGGGGTCAGGCAGGGTGGCTGGGACAGGGGAGAGAGGGCAATGCTTGAACGCAGCTGATTTCCAAGCCCACTCCCCCCCCACTGCTGCCTCTCTGCCCTGCAGAACCCCACTGATGCTGGCGATCATGAATGGCCACGTTGACTGTGTCCACCTCCTGCTGGAGAAGGGATCCACAGCCGACGCAGCGGACAAGAGGGGAAGGACCGCCCTGCACCGAGGGGTGAGTGCATCCCGGGGACCGGGGCAGGCCCGGAGCCCTGCAGCTTCTGCTCGTCCTCCTGAGCAGGGGCTGCTTGGAGAACAAGCAGGGGGCTTCCTTTGCTGCAAGAGTCCTCAGGGCCCATTTTCCCTTCTGGGGATGCAGCGTTTGAGAAGGAAGCAGCAGCAGAAGGGGGTAGCTCTGCTGTTAGATGATCAAAGGGTGAGATCTGACCTCCTGCTCCTCTTTCCTGGCCACAGGCTGTGACAGGCTGTGAGGACTGCCTGGCTGCCCTGCTGGACCACGATGCCTTCGTTCTGTGTCGGGATTTCAAAGGCCGGACCCCGATCCACTTTGCGTCGGCGTGCGGGCACTTAGAAATCCTGCGGACCCTGCTGCAGGCAGCCCTCTCTACTGACCCTCTGGACTCTGTGGTGGACTACAGCGGTTACTCACCGATGCACTGGGCTTCATACAGTGGTAAGGACCTGGGCTGGGCCCCTACCCACCTCTGCTCTGCTCTGCTCTGGCTGTTGGTGGGGAGGAGGGAGCCAGGTTATCCCTCGGTCCCGCACCGTCAGCCCCGCAGTGAGTTCAGCCTGGTGGAAGGGACGGCACAACTCTGTGAGGGAAGCAGGGAGTTTTTCTCCCCCTGCAAAGCTCCTTAAAAAAGGAACGAAATACAAAACCAGCTATTATAGAACCACTGAGGCCGCTTCCTCCGGGACCTCTGGATTTATGGCATTACTTGGCCATCACCCCGGCTGCGGGGAATGGTGGGACTGATACGGCAATGGGAAGGGATCTCTCAGTGTTTCAAAGGGAAGCCAGCAGCGTGGCTTTGAAGCCCTTCGGGAGATGGTGTGGAATTAGAAACCTCCTGAAGCGCAGCAGCTTCGCTGCCAGAGAGGAAAGAAACCCGCTGTGTCCCCGGGGGGAGCGGGTTGGTTTGGGCACTTCGGTGCCGCTGGTCCGTCTTGCCATTACAGGTGAGGAACCACAGGCTGGGCACTGATATATTTCTGTCCCTCTCTCCTCGCAGGGCATGAAGATTGTCTTGAATTGTTACTTGAACACAACCCGTTTGCGTACCTAGAAGGAAACCCCTTTACTCCATTGCACTGTGCAGTGTAAGTGGCATCTGGGACCTGCCCGGGGTTCGTCCCAGCTGGGCGATGCGGGAGCGGGGATGCGTGGTCTGAGCGGAGGAGCTCCACACCCTGCCCTTCTTGCCAAGGGCTCTTTCCTGGGCTGCAGCAGCTCCTCGGGGTGGCACCACTTGCTCGTCCCAGCTCCCCTGTGGCCAGGAGGCGGTTGCTGGGCTGCTGGAGGTCCTCGGGGAGCTGTAAAGCGATGGTCTCGTTGGCTGTGCACAGCGCCGCCAGGGCTGTCACCCCCCAGGCTCCCATGCCAGCCGGTTTTCAGCTTGATGGAGCTAACAGAGCTGCCAAGGGCTGGCATTCAGCCCTTGCCAGCCCTCTTGGATGGCTCATCTCTGCTCTTTGGTTATGGAGCATCTCGGGAAACCTCCAGGCTTCCCGTGAGGCTCTGGGGATGGGCTCAGGCGGGAGCCGGGCTCCCCCTTGTCCCAAGCTGCCTTCCTCAGAGGTGTCTGGGGCAGCGTGAGAGTGATCCCGGGGGTCCCACTGGGCACAGAAGGGTTTGGGGCTGATGGTGATTCCCTGGCTTTGCAGCTGGCAGAGGAAGGAGCGTGCTGCCCTGGGCAGCTGAGGAAGGGTGAGGAAGGTGGAGGCGTTGCCACACTCTGCCTTGGAGGGGCCTGGTGCATCCCTGGGGCCCGTAGCAGCAATGGGGTGGGCAAGGCTGTTGTCTGGCCCGGTACTGTGTTTCCTTGAGTAATACCGAGAAGGGTAAAGGGGTGTTTTACCCCAAACAGCTCCAGACCAGCTGCTGTTTGCATCTGAGCCCTGGGAAGGTGCTGCTCGCTCCCGCTGCAGACGTGGTGATGCTGCTTAGTCTTGTTCTAACTTTCCTTCTCGTCCCCACCACAGAATTAACAACCAGGACGGCACTGCTGAAATGCTGGTGGAAGCATTAGGTGCCAAGATTGTTAATAGCAGAGATGCCAAAGGAAGGTGAGCGCAGACTCGTCCCTCCCTTGTCACCCACTCCTTGGTGCTGCTGGGTGGCGGCTGTAACTCCCGCAGTGGTTTCCACATGACTTCCCATGGCACAGAGGGACTCTGACATCCTCAAAACACATCTGTGGGCCTGGGTGGTCTTGCTGGGGTGGGTGCTGCGCCCTCCTCTTGACCCGTTCTCTCGTTTTCCCAGGACACCCCTTCACGCTGCTGCCTTTGCAGACAACATCCATGGTTTACAGCTGCTTCTGCGCCACCAAGCCGAGGTGGACATGACTGACAAGCTGGGGAGGACTCCCCTCATGATGGCTTCTGAGAACGGGCACACTGCAGCAGTCGGTACGTGCCTGGCAGCCGCTTTCCCCAGTATGGGGTGCGAGCCCCCCTGTGCCTCCTCCGTAACCGGGTCCCGTGGGAGCGGGGCTGTCCCACCCTTGTGGGCACGCTGGGAGAGCTGCCCCACTCAACAGCAGCCATCCCTCCTCATTTCAGAGTTCCTGCTGTACCAAGCAAAAGCAAATATAACTGTGCTGGATGTCAACAAGAACACAGCTCTTCACCTGGCCTGCAGCAAGGTAGGGAGACAGCCGCTCATGGCCATGACCACAGTCACCATCAGCTTCAGCCTTGCCACCTGAATGAGGGGGGTTCTCTGCTTACTCCTGCCCCACCAGAGCAGAGGCGAGGGCCCTGGGCTGGCTCTGCCTGTCCTGACTGTACAGGCGCTCCCGATTCAGTTTTGAGCGGCTTAGGTTGTAGCACAGACCCGTCTGTCTTTCCTGGGGACCCCCTCTCTGAGCTGGGTGTGCTTCCTGAGGCGTGGTGGGAGCAGGGGGCTTGTGACCAGTGTGTCCACGCAAAGGAGGAGGCGATGGAGGGGACAGCAGCTTCTCTTGTCAGGCCCCACCAAAGCGGTGAGCTGTTGTGGAAGGTCGGGTTTAGGAAACGCTTCCGTATCCCAGGGAATCACGTTCCACTCGGGCAGCACCAGGTCCCCTCCACTGCTCCTGCGTTCCTGCTTCTGCGCTCTCACCAGCCTGGTCTCCTTTCCAGGGTCATGAAAAGTGTGCCTTGTTGATCCTGGGGGAAACCCAAGACCTTGGCCTTATCAATGCAAGTAACAGTGCTCTGCAAATGTGAGTATTCGGGCAGCTGGCGCCGGTGGGGAAAAGCAGGGCTTTGCTGGGTGGGGGGTGATGCCCTGGGATAAGGGGGGTGGCGGGAGCTCTGTTCCTACTTGGTGTGCGCAGGGGGCTCAGGAAGAGCCAAGTGTCTGCCCTCCGAGCCCCTTGGCTTAGCTCGAGGGGTTACAGGCGGGGGCTCGGCTGCTGGGTTAACGCCGCCCTTCCCTCTCCCCCCAGGCCGCTCCACATCGCAGCTCGCAACGGGCTGGCCTCCGTCGTCCAGGCCCTGCTCAGCAGAGGTGCCACTGTGCTGGCTGTGGATGAAGAAGGTGCGTGCTCCTCGTGGGTGCCTGGGGGGGTTCAGCATGATGTCGGTGGGGGGTGGGGGAGGAAACGCTCCGCCAGGATCGGAAGGATTTCCGCATCCTTTCCGCGGCTGAGCAGCACGTTCTCAGGAGCAGCCTGGCTGAGGACGTTGGCACCCCGTGATCCCCTGTAAACGCAATTCCAGGTCCCACAGGTGTTGGAAATGCGTCTTTTTGCCCCCGTGCATCTCCTGGTGGCTGGCTGGCTCTCCTGCTGGGCACAAATCCAGCCCAGCCCGAGCCAGCAGTGAGCTCTTGACTCACTTGCAAGTTGGCAGGGACTGGTTGCTGTGGCCAGAAGCTTTTTCTCCCAGCAGAGTTCTTGCTCTGCTGGAATACCTTTAAGTCGTGAAGAATATCATTGCGTCTGCCGTGCTGCCAGGGCTTCGGAGGCTTTTTATTGTCTCCTGCTGATCCTGGCACGCTTCAAAGCGGTTGCTGCAACCGCAGGGCTTGCCGGTGCCCGGACGCAGGGTATTTTGAGATAAAGGCAAATGACGCCCTGGCCCCTCACTGCAGGGGTGAAAACTGCCCCAATCCAAGCGTTCCCCGGGGAAGGTGCCCCCCCGGGGCAGCTCCTCACTCCCGCCTTTTCTTCTAGGTCATACCCCAGCCTTGGCATGCGCCCCCAACAAGGACGTTGCCGACTGCCTGGCACTTATCCTCTCCACCATGAAGCCTTTCCCACCTAAAGACGCCATCAGCTCTTTCAGCTTCAACCTCCTCAAGAACTGCGGCATTGCAGCCAAAACCGCCGCCTGCGGGGCCCTGCCCAACGGCAGCACCTGCCCCTACAGCAAGGACCGGCACAATGCCATCGGCTTGGACGGCTGTTACTCGGAGTAGCTTAAACTATGGGTGACCTAATATCTTATTATATTTATTTAGAAATTCTATAAATATAGGGCACTTTAAAGGAGAACAAGACTGGGCAGGCCTTCTAGCGTGGCCGGATAGGCCAAGAGTTCAGAGCTTCCTCTTCTCGCTGGATTGCCAGCGCGGTGCCAAAGCTGTTAATTGGTTTAACGAGCAGCTGGCAGCGCCGTCCCCGTCCCCTGCCCCCTCTCAATCCTCTCCCTGTCAGCGCGTGCTTGCACCCCTCTGATGGCAGGGCAGGAGATGGGTGCTGTGGGCTTTGGGCTTTGCCCGGCCGAGACGAGGCAGGAGCCACCGTCCCCTGGCCCGCAGAGGGGAAGGGGGGTTTGTCCCCCAGCTTTTGGGGTGGGTTGAAATCAGTGCTGGTGTTTCCCAGTGCCCCGTGCCAGCCTCCCGCCCTGCCTCACCCCCCTGGGGCTGCCCCGAGCCCTCGCTCAGTCCATCCGGGACGAGGAAGCCTGAACTCTTGGTGGGATGGGGCAGGGGGGGCGGTGGGAGTCTCTGGGAATTGGCTGGTCTCGCAGGCACGGGGGTGGGTGTTAGCTCCTGGCCAAGTGCCACCGTAACTGCTCCTCTCCTGCAATCGCTTTCTTTCCTCACGCTCATCCTTCGATTCCAATACAAACACTTGAATCAAGATCTACTGTACCTGGGACACTAAAAGACCCTTTTGGCAGCTGTCATTTATATGCAAAAACGGGTGCTGCTGCCCGACCCCGCGGCCAGCGGCTGCGGCTGCGCTGCTGGAGCCTCCCTCCCCACACCAGGCACTTTAGGGATTCTGTTGGTTCCTTGGGTTTTGTTCTTCTTGGCAAAATGTTGGATCCTAAGAAACGATTCTTTTTTTTTTTTGAATTCTCATTCCCTGTTTTGTGTGGCCCTTCCCATGCGAGAGTCAGTGTTGCTTTTTTTTTTTATTTTTAAAAAAAGAAAAAAGTTATTTATAAAGAAACAGCATTTACCTTAAAAAAACCAACAAAAAACATAAAAAAAGCCCTGAAAGTTTCAGCCTTTTAATAAGGCAAAAAATGCACTTCGAAGCCCTTCTCCACACCCCTTCGTAGGGCCGGGTTTATCCTTCCGATGCAGCATCTTGGTGGGTTTGTTAGCGTGCGTGTGTGTGGGATCGTTGGGTTTTGTTTGGGGTTTTCTGTTTTTAATTGTAGAAATCCTATTTATGCTGCAGCGTTGAAGCATTCGAGGATTGTTGCACTGGTTTGGTTTTTTTTTTTTTTTCCGTTGTTGTTGGGTTTGGTTTTAATTTTTTTCCTTCTGAATTACTGTACCGGTGTCATGTGCAAACCCAGCACCCTTCCCCCGAACCACGAGTCTGCTCAAAGCCAAAGACTGGGATGCAGAGGACGAGAATGGGCTGACAGGGCAACAAGCATTTCGGGAACCGTCTTTCCCCCCGACCTCCTTCCCCCTCCGCAGCCGCGCCGAAAGTGGGGAGCGTGGGGCTGGGGCCCAGGGTCCCGCCCGTGGCCGCCCTGGGGGCATCCCAGCGCGATCCCTCTGGGATGGGAGCGGGGGAAAAGGATCCCTCTTCTCCCACCGAGCGGCCGCTCGCCTCCTCTTTGCCGGCGAGGCCGCGGTGGGACCGCACGAGCCTTGCGCCGCGGCTCTTCTGCCCAGCGTTTCAGAGCGAAAGAGCATTTCCGTAACCAAAATAAGGTATTGCGTCTTTTTTTTCTTCTTGATTTTTTTTTTCTTTTTTTTTAAAATAGTTTCTAAATGAAGGTGGCTCCTGTTTAGGGCAGCGTTTGCCAGTTTTAGGCCGTGGTGTGGAGCAGGCGTTGGAGCCGGCTGCTCCTTGGGGGGCTCCCGGCGGGCGAGGGTGCTGGCAGCCTGCGGGCAGGGTCCCTTCGCACTGTTTCTTTCTTTTACCAAAGCCAAACTCTTAGAACCAAATACGACGTTTCAGGCTTGGCCTTTGGGGTGATAAGCACATCTTCTTCACATCTCGCGTAGGAGTTTTTCCCGAGGGGGTCAGGGACCTCCCTGCTGCTCTTGCCCGGCGCCAGCTCGCTGTCGGAGCTCCACCTCCCCGTCCCGTTACCAACCTGCACTTCATTCAGCAAAGCACTCGAGAAATCTGCCCTTGGCGAGATCTCGGAGCGGGCGCCACGCTCAGCCTGGGCCCTGGAGGGCTCCGGCCCCCGGGTGGGTGGGGGCTCCTCTGGCTGCTCCGTAGGGATCTTCCCCTTTCGGACCATGAGCCCCCTGCACCCCCGTCTCCGCGCGGCAGCGGCTTGCGGGGCCAGCAGGTCCCCGCTTTGGTGCTGGCGTAGAGTCACGTCCCTGGCCGCTCACGTCTGCCCCCCAACCCTCTAGCTTGAAAGAAAGTGTTAAACCTTTCTGCACCGAATACCTCAGTTCGGAACCAGAATAAACTCATGAAACTTGAATAAAAAGATCCTTTTTGAAGATCCTTTTCAGTATTCTACAGAGGAGAACTGGAAAAAGAGACTTGTTTACATTGCTGTCGAGTCCGCACTTGCCTCTT